TTTTATTTCTTTTTTTTTTTTTTCTTTATTTCTTTTTCTTCTCTTACTGCACAGACTAGGAGTGTCAGGGCAAGATTGAGTGGACTTGGTGCAAGAAGACATCTTTGCCTTATTTTTAGATCCTCCCTTGATCTTAAGGGGGAAACATTCAGTTTGTCTTTCAAGGAATTTGTCTGTTTCATCTAAAGTGTTACATGTATGGCACAAAGTTGCTCATGATATTCTCTCATTTTCTTTTTAATGTATGTAGGATCTCATCATTCCCTGTATTGGAGATTTGTATCTTTTACTCCCCTCAATTTTTTTCCCTGATCACTCTGACTAGAGTTTAGTGAACTTTTCAAAGAACCAGTTTTTTTATTTCATTGACTTGTCTCTCTCTCTCTCTACCTATCTCTGTCTCTCTCTAAGATTTATTTATTTATTTATTTATTTATTTATTTATTTATTTGGAAAGAGAGAAAGAGAGCGCAGAGCGGATGGAGGGGCAGAGGGAGAGACGGAATTTCCAGCAGATTTCCGGCTGAGCAGGGTGCCCATCCTGAGGCTAGATCTCATGACCTGAGTTGAAATTAAGAGTCAGACACTCAACTGACTGAGCCACTCAGGCACCCCTTTTTTCTCTCTTTATTTGTTTGTTTTGTTTTCTTTTGCATTAGCTCCTACTTTTGTTATTATTATTTCCTTCCTTCTGTTCACTTTGGGTTGGATTTTCCCTTTTTCTTGTTCCTCTATGTAGAAATTAGAGCATTGGCTGGAGACCTCTCTTCTTTTCTTACACAAGCATTTAATTCTGTAAATTTCCTTCTAATTGCTTGAGCCCATACCAAAATGTTGATATGTTGGGTTTCAGTCACAGTGTTTTCTAATTTCCTTTGTGATTTCTTCTTTAACTCATGAGTTGACTCATGAGAAGTGATCTGTTTGGTTGGTAGATATTTGGAGCTAATCAAAATGTTTCATTTGTGTGCATTTCTTATTTAATTCCCCCATCTTTCTCATTGAGAAAAATACTAAAAAAAAATCAGAGAAGAAAAAGGCATTTCTTTATTATCTTATTTTTATATCTTTTAACATTTACAACTAGTGTATATGAAGTTTTGTCTCTTGCATTAAGCTTAATTTATCTTTGTTTTGCCAAAAATAAACTGAAACTGTTTTTTAATCCCAAAGCAAATTTTAAATTGGGAACTGTTTTTATTCCATAAGACATAACTCAGTCCAAGGCAGCAGAGGGTGTAATGTAGCTGTATTTATTCTTATATATCTATTTTATAAGATAAATATTTATAAATATATTTCTGCCATCACTTATGACACCAATATTTCTCAGTTAAAAAAGAAGGAAATTTTCTATTCATTTTACCAATAATCAAAACAGGTAATTAAAGTTGGGTTTCTCATATGGGTGCAATTTTTTAATTGCTAGATTAATGTCCAACAATTGACCATAATTTATTCTCTAACACGGGGTTAGAGTTATTTTTAGCCATTTTGCAAAGTAAAACTCTTTACTCCAGATACTCAACAAAAATATTGTTTTCAATGTTCAATTCTTCAAGGAACAAACAGCTACTGTGTTGAAAATCTTCCATGCTCAGTCTTCAGAAAAAGCTCTTTTTATTTGCCAGTTGTGTTTATTCCAATGTATTTTATCACGCACTGTCTCTAGCAGTTCTTCTTCAGTTTAATGTTGTTTTTGTCATTTTAAAAATAAACTCAAATGGATTTATTCCTTCAATGGGAAAAAAATACTGAGAATTATTCTACTTATTTCAAAGCCAGATGGTGTCAACACTGTCTTTCAGCAGACTCCCATGTCATTTGTTGGTACAAAGGATTAATTTAGCATTAAGTCTGTAGGAAGTAAATTTGGCCACAAGAGACAGCACCACATGCATCGAGCTCACAAGGAGTAATAAACGTATGTCCTCTTTCATATAATCAGGATTGAATGGGTTTGATTGCGGGACACTGCAATCATAAACAACCATGGTCTGTATAGATGCTGGCTATAGTGGGTAGAACTAACATTGTTCCAGACAATAAATAGTAGTCTGCTATTTGGGGCTTATAGTGTTTGATAAAGGGATTATGAAAATAGGGTTCATACCGTACTACCACAGCATTGGATTTGTACTTCTGATAGCATATAGACTTTAACTTACCAAAAACCTAATTCCTTGCTTCCCTAATCCTTTCCTAATGTCTAGTGTTATCATCGGTACCCCAATCTTCTTATCCCTGGGGGGGGGGGTCTCCGTGGAATAATGTTCTATCCTCCATCTTAGAATGTGAGCACTATTCAGTAAGAGCTGTTAGGGCTGTTTATCCTTGGCTAATAGTTGATTATATTCTTCTTCCTTCCTTCTAAAAAAATGATAATTTTGAAAACGGTGAACAATGTTTCACTTATTCATTTGGAATCTTCAGAGAGCCATTTTTTTCTCATGGTTTCCCCAGATTTGAAAAAGTCTTAGACAGTAGATAACTGAATTTTGTGAGCCCTAGCTTTTGAATGATTTTGCCATGATTTTGCCATGACCTATAATAGATTATCTTTTCCCTTACAGATTTCTATTTGATTTTGTTAAAGAAATGGGGCAGGAAGTTTCTTTAAGTTGTCTTTACTAAAATCACTGCTGCTTAGTGGCCCCTGTGGTGAATTATACAGTCGACTTTTGAACAATGCAGGTATTGGGGCACCAACCCCCTGTGCATGTAACTTTGACTCCCCCACAACTTAACTACCAGTAGCCTGCTGTTGAGAGTAAGCCTTCTCGATAACATAAGCAGTTCATTAACACATATTTTGTGTATGTGTTATATACTGTATTCTTACAATAAAGTAAACTAGAGAAAAGAAAATGTTATTAAGAAAATCATAGGAAGAGAAAAAAAAATTTACCATACTGTATCTTATATGAAAAATCATATATAAGTGAAAAAAATCCTCATATAAATGAACCTGCACAGTCCAAACCTATATTTTTCAAGAGTCAACCGTATATTGGAAATAGAACAGTCCTGAGTAAACCTGAGCTGAAGTCTTCACCTGCAACTAACCCCTACTTTTCTGAACATCAATTTTCCTTTCATGTATTAAATGAGGGGTTTTGAACACACTGTCTCCATAGGACCTGTAAATTTCTAACTATTTATGATTCTGTGGTACTGGGGCATTTATGACCAGTCCTCCAGGATTGATGACCATAAGAACAAAACTCTTCAGAGAAAATATGCTCAGCTTCTGCTCTGTATTTGTTCTCTATGCAAATAAATAAACGAATGAATGAATAAATAAAATATAAATAAATAAATAAATAAATATTTTCCCTAGAACCTCACATTGGGTGTGGAGCATGGAATCAACTCTCTGTTGCCAAGCTAAGAGCAAAGTAAAGCTTTGGGTGCTTAGGTCGTGAAGGCTCCACAGGGACAGAAGTCCAAACTCTCTGGGCTTCACTCAAATAAAAGTAACCTTCTGTGTTCTGTACTCTTCTCCTCACCAAGTCCCCAGTGTTTGATCTGAACATGATTTAATCAAATCAAGTCGGAAAGGGGAGCATGACATAACAACAAGCCAATATAAGGGTAGGGGATGTTGAGGTATCAGCCCAGCAAGGCTGTGCTCTGCAATTGTAATTTAATAGTTGCCCATTAAGGATGAAAGCAAAGGGTTTCATAATTTAGTAGCATTTCTGTGGGTTGTCAGTTTAAAATATGTACTTCTTCCACACAACCCTAGAAGACAATGCAGCCAAAGTGACTTTGACCAAGAGCATTTGAGATGTTTTCCAATCATTTGTGGTATACAACCCAAAGAGTTTATCATAATTTTCCAGATGAGGAAATAGGGACACACAGAAATTAAATTACTTGCCCTTGGGTCAGTATTTAGCCCAATAAATTTTGCTTTCTACTTTAGAAAGAGATTACTCAGAGGGGAAAATAAAGATAGCATTTGAAGTTGCTAGAGGCTGTGTTAATTACTGATGCCCTTAAAAGGGCATTTAAGACTTCTGATTGCCAAAAGAGGGATTTTCTGTTGAAGTTACTTTCAGCTGGAGGTCTAGGAATTCTTTTAAAGTTACCTTCACCTAAAAATTGCTAGAAAAGCATTGTTCTTTTGAGAAGTATCCTTTTTAAGATTATAAAAATAACAATTTGGTTTGGAACCAGCTTTTAATGTAGAATAATGCCATGTACTGCATTGCATTCAGCCAGTGCTCACTTTCTAGGTGTAAATTGTAGGCAAAAAATATGTACGTGTCATGTTACTATCCTACTTACATGATTACATCATTTAACTGTCTCTCTCTCTCTCTCACCCTTGAGTTATCCAGAGGACAACTCTAGAACTTGATCAGGCTTTATTTTGGCTCTGGACCTGGCCTTGGGGGAGGTAGGGCTGCATTAATGGAAAGCAAAAGAAATCTAAGAAGTAGGAATATACAAGTGGCCACCTTTCTACTCTGAAGTATTTAATTCAAAACTGCATTTCTTCACAACTCAACAGAATTCTAGATCTTTATCCACAAAAAAAGTCCCATTTCTTGATATGGCTTGAAGCACCGATTAGATAACCTGTATACACACACACCCACACCCACACCCACACCCACACCCACACTCTCTTACACTTACACAGGACCTATAGGTAGATGTATACATTTATGCGTCTATATGTTAAATTATCTCAACTCAGGGTTGCTCTCTGCTCTGCCCCCTAGGGCCCAAGAGAGGAGATACTGTAAAACAGTCAATCTCTGAGCTAGAAACCAGGACTTAAAAGCCTAGGGGTAGGATGTTTCAGATCCCTTACTATTCCTTGAGTTATTTTGCTGAACATCACTTTCAATACCTTTTTCCATATAGACAGTATCTGTTCGAGTAAATTGCGGGCCACTTTTTCCCATTGCTGTTAGCGTACCCTACACTAGTGAAGCATTCTTCACGTGTGTCATCACCAGCAATTAACAAAACATTCTGCGTTTCAGAGTATCCCACCCTCCGCAGATTGTTCTGCCCATTCGTAACTGGGAACCGGAAGAGGAGCCCCGCAAAGAGGAAGGAGTTGGACCATTGGTGGAACATATTTATGAGGTAGCTTTCATCTTAAAGTTGTGTTAGGAGTTTATTCTTACGCTCTTTACCAATAAACTCTTCATAGCATTTTAAAAGACACCGATCCAAGATCTGAGCTTTATATACTGCTTGGATTTATGCTGTTATGCTATCATATTGCAGTGGGGGGAGGGGGTAGAGTATGAGTCACTTGCTTTTTAGTGGTGGGAGCCATTATGCAGTGAGAATATTTTATCTTGTTACTGTTCTCTTTTAAATGTTCCTTACATCTCTTTTTTTTAATATTTGGACAGCCTAACCATAAAAAGGACTAGCTCCCTGGACTTTATTTTGCCTCTTCCTACATTTTCAAATATCCTTAAAATCTACCCACCTCTTAAACTGAAAGTCACCAACCAGAAGGTACCAGACAGAGAAAATGTTATGGATTATTCGCTATGTACAAAAAAAAAAACCCACACATATAACACACACACACATGAATAACTTATTCTGAGATTTGAAATAGTCCATCCGTCAATTGGTAAAATATTTTCCAGAAGCAAACCAGAAGCTCATGAAAAAGCCACCTTCTGTTTGAGGTCCCTTCTTATTTACTGCCCTCTATCCCTTTCCTGTGTAACTCATTCCACTGACCTAGAAATCCTGACTGTGACTTTCATCTTAAGCTACAAGGGACATGAATAGCATTCTCTAAGGTTAACAACGAAGTCATTTCAAAACTGATGAGCTGTGTACGTATGTGGGAAAGAAGTGTCAACTCCTGCATAACATCAACATGAAAACCTCTGTCATCTGCCCAACCTGTGGCTCAGAATCAGAAGCCCCATCCGCAGCTGGATCAAAGCTTTGCCCTAAGCTCTCTTGATAGCAAAAGGATAACATAGTCCCCAAGGCCACTTGGATTAAGAACCTTGCTAGTAAAAAATGCTGTCAAATAATTTATTAAACCTTGTGTGCACCGGTTTCTCTTTAAGAATGGTGAAACTTTAAAGTTTGCAAACATATTCAAACTCAATCATTCTCAGGGCAGCCCTGCTTCTAATCTTAGCATAAACGGATCATAAAATTTTAGGGTAATAATCAGTGGTGACAAAAGCAATTATCACGTGTTTCCTACATGCTATTCTCATGTCTCAAAATATACTGTTATCAGTGGATGCCATGTTGTTTTGATAATGTGAATTAAATGAGCCACCTAATAAGCAAAACCAAATTATAAATTGTTTTATTGATCATTAGAATTATCAGAACTGTGGAAAAAAAAAAAGACAAAAGTTCCCTGCTAACTTTGAAGTAAATTTTCAAAACCACAATAAATTTAAATACATTTCGTGATTTTCCCAAGCTGTTTTTGTGTCCTGTGAATACAGGATTCATGTGTTTAAAATGCTCATCTCTTTAGGAGATGTGGCCTCTCTTTCTTTGATATTCACTGATTAAAACAGAAGGAGCTCAGCTTTGAAATGCGCACTTGAAGTGAACTGTGGTGAGCCTGGACTATCTTTGGCATTTGATGGATAACCATTTTTCCAGAGGGTGAAAGAGAGTGCGTCGCATATGGTTGCAACTGGCAAGTCAGTAGTCTGGGAAAAGGCAGATTTCAGTGTAAAGAAAGAATAACTAGGTTTTGAAAGCGTATCATTAAAATTGCATTTCTAGCCCTGCGATTAAATGAATATAAATTTTAGGTAAACATCGCAATGATCAGACATGGTTAATGTGGTCTTTGCTAAGGAGATCTGCCCTCAGAGATTCACAGAAGGAAGAATCTTCTCTGAGCAAAAGCGCCTCTTGTTTTCGGAGCTCTTCTTGCTTATGTAGATTGTATCTTTCTATAGCCACCATCATAGTCTGGATGCGTTAAAACCCAAAATACGCGCTTTTTAGAATGGGTACAAAGTACATGGAGCTTGATTTCATCTTCCTGCCTTGTCCTGTACCATTACTTTTTCCTTTCTTGTAGCTGCACAATATTGGACCGAGTACCATCAGTGACACTCTTCTGGAGGTGGGCTGGCCATTCTCTGCCCGGGACGAATTTCTCCTCTACATTTTTCATATCCAAACTCTGGGACCTCTGCAGTGTCAAACAAATCCTAATATCAACCCACAGGATATAAAGGTAGGAGCCTGGTCTAACTAGCTGTTTTGCCTGTTTTTTATGGTAAGGAAAAAAAATTAAAACTGTGGTTTATATTTTTTAAAGCGAAGTAATTATAAGAATAAGTTATTTCGGGCGCCTGAGTGGCTCAGTCGTTAAGCGTCTGCCTTCGGCTCGGGTCATGGTCCCAGGGTCCTGGGATCGAGTCCCACATCGGGCTCCCTGCTCCGTGGAGAGCCTGCATCTCCCCCTCCTGCTCCCCCTGCTTGTGTTCCCTCTCTCGCTGTGTCCCTCTCTGTCAAATAAATAAAATTAAAAAAAAAAAAAGAATAAGTTATTTCGGTGATAATCTATATGGCCTTTTCTTTTAGTGTTATGGTTAGAATGCCAGGTCTTGGGGCACCTGGATGGCTCAGTCGGTGAAGCATCTGCCTTTGGCTCAGGTTGTGATCCCAGGGTCCTGGGATCGAGCCCCGTCGTTGCGCTCCCTGCTCAGCAGGGGTCTGCTTCTCCCTCTGCCCTTCCCCCTGCTCGTGCTCTCTCGATCTCTCAAATAAATAAATAAAATCTTTTTTAAAAAAAATGCCAGGCCTAACTTAAAATGTCACTCCTAGAAAACTTAAATTTCTCTTGACTTTATTGTTCATGGTAACCTGTCATTTATCTAGCCTATTTTACTAGATACCTTTTGCATATGGTTTGACTAGCAGCACAACAAAACCAAAATCATAAATAGACATGTCATGTTTTGGAGAATTTGTACACAATTCTATTTTTAGAGTCCTTTTGGTGCATTGCCAAAAGATATAAGGATCTTTGCAAAGTGGGCTTTTCCAGATGTTGCCAATAGCAAGTGGTGAAATGCGAGAATTTTCCAAAGGCCATCTCTGTGCCCCAAGAACCCCCAGACTGGAAATTTCTGGACCCCATTCTTTAGTGCAGCTTATAGAGAAGCCAAGAGCAGTGCTTTTCAGATTCTCAAGCTTATCCAATCACCTGGGGGTCTGGTAAGAGGCAGGGTCTGGGGGCCCTAAAACTCTGCCGCTCTACAATCCCCACCTGACATCCACGCTGCTTTGCTACTCACAGACTAGCCAGAAGCTCAAGTGTCCAAGGAGCTGATCTCATTCAGATTAAGATCCAAATCTGGCTTTAAGTTTCTTCTGGGAAGAAAAGAACATAATTAGCATAAACCCTTGAAAATGTCACATTTGAATGGAAGAAAAAAAAACTTTTTAACCAGATGTTATCCTCAAAAGAGAACTTTATTTAAGAATCAACATTGTCTAGTAGCTCAGGGAGACAGTGTCTCTATTCGAGGTGGAGCAAAGAGCAGGCTTCATGAAATACTAACTCAACCATTTGGGACGCAGGTCTGCCTCTACTCTAACTGGGGGCACGGGGACATTGCCGGTTATGAAAGGCTTTCTTCTTCAACCCAACATGGCTTCTAGTCCAAGGGAGGAAGACTGAAAGGGGTTCAGTATGAAAGGATTTATAGGACAAGTCTCCTTCTTTATGGGGAAATAATAAATAAGGTCACTTGTATCCCACAAAATTATTTAAAATACTTCCTCCCTGGAAATTTTTTTTTCCATTTCCTCTCTCTTGGCTCTTCATTGAGATGATTTTAATATCTTCAAGGACAGTAGCTTATTATAAAATAATAAATAGCTTATTATAAAATAAATAAAATAAATTTTTAATCAGGGGGCGTCTGGGTTGCTCAGGCGGGGAAGCATCTGACTTTGGCTCAGGTGCCCCTAAGCCTAGTAATTTTAAAAATGCAACTTAATTATGCTCCTTTTATAAAACTCTCAATTTGTGGAAATTGAATATAAGAAGATTTGATTACAGTATGAAGGAATAGCTCCCCAAAATGACAAATGGTAACAATTCATGAATTCTTGAAATTCAGAATGATGAAACAGTTGAAATGTTTTTACTTTCAGGTCTTCTGAGTACTTTTACTTATATTTAGTATGTATAACCCAGAGAGTCTAAAAGAGCTTTTTATCAATAAGTAGATTTTTAAAATTAGTTATCAGTATATTTTACATAAGCAGCTACCAACAAATTGAGAATACTTGAAAATTATTTTCTTCTTAAGATAATAATTTATTGGTGAAGTCTCTGTAAATTTACTTGGCAATTTATTTCTTCCTAGATAATACAAAGCTAAATAATCAATTCTCTGTCTTAAATATGAGTTGGAAATTAGTAAAGAATAAATTATTTATTATATCTAGTTATCTTCAATGGAATAAGCCTGGGAAATTTTTTAACTTAGGTATCAATTTCAGATTCTTGCATCAAATCTAATTACTGTTTTTTATATAGATATTTAAAGATAAATATAGTTTTTTAAAATATAGCTATTTAAAGATAAATATCTGTAGTTTTTTTTTAACTTAGTTCTTTAAGAAGCAGAGAAAGGGTAGGTTTAATAAAAGGAACAAGGAGGCAAAATACATTCATATGGGCAAAAAGTAAATCCTAGTAGGACGAGTGGGTGGCTCAGTTGTTAAGCGTCTGCCTTCGGCTCAGGTCATGATCCCAGGGTCCTGGGATCGGGTCCCGAATGGGGCTCCCTGATCAGCAGGGAGTCTGCTTCTCCCTCTCCCTCTGCCCCTCCCCCCTGCTTGTTCTCTCTCTCTTTCTCTCTCTTTCTAATAAATAAATAAAATCTTTAAAAAAAAAGAGTAAATCCTAGCATTTGATCTTACCCACTAAGATAAAATTCCTTACGATTTGGTTCTACAATTTCTTTATAAGCAGAGCAGTAATTAGTGAGTGCCTCTTGAAACATCTGCGTCTATGAGCAGGTCTATAAGTCTTTTCTGAGGATGCTCTAGTGCCCACTGGACAAGCCGCTGACATATCCCAGACCAGCTGCAGGCCTGTCAGAGGGAAAACTCCCACCTCAGCTTTCCCGAGGATCCTCTGGAGGATTTTCAAGTTCTCCACCATGTTCGCCTCTCCAGCCATTCAGCTGATTTCCCCTCAGCAAAATGCTTTCTCTTCAGGTCACATATACCTTTTTGTCCACTTCCCCCTCCCGTATATATTCTCATTTTTTCCCCCCAATTAACCACTGAAAATAGCTCCCTCTTTCACTGCTTCTTTGCAGCTCCCACCAATGTCTAAGGAAATGTGCTGATGAAAAAGCAACTGTCCAGAGTTCCTTAGAAGCACTTTCTAGGCCACCTGCTCCAAGGAACCAATGCCACCAACTCTAAAACCTTTGAAATTCCCTGGACGCCCCCTGCAGAATCTCCACAACATCTCAAAATAATTTCTCACGTCTGCCTAATTAAACCTATCAGCATTTAATAGAATTAATGTATTTACCACGATGTGGGGGGGGTTTCCTAATTTTTAAAAAAATTACTCAGAGAGCAACCTCTTGGCTTTGCTTTTTTATTACAAATACATAGTTTTATTCATCAAAGCCATACTGTAGATAAAGTAGGGGTTTTTTTGTGGGCTGGTCTGAAAACTGAGCCACCATTTAAAAGATTGTCTCTAAAGAGAAATGCATTCTGAGTGCCAAACATCTAGCCTCAAACCTTCTGAAATATGACCCATCTGTATATTGAACAGGTATTCCAAATGTGATGCTCCTCACATAAGTCTCCAAGTCCGATAAGGCCTGAACGGGATTCACTTTTCACAACACTGACTGGTACAGCTGAGTTATCCCACCAAGCGACCCTAATGTCCCCAAGATCTGAATAGCAGACTACTTTTGAAGGCCACCACCATGATCATAGGAAACAATGGGCCAAAGTTCTCACCCACACGTACCTCACTTGCTGCCCAAATACAGAGCATCAGGGACTAAACTGGGGACACACTCAGATGCCACTAGAAGTTTGTGAGGTTTTTTTATAAGGGTTTTAAATTAGTTTTCTTCTATTGCCACTTACCATAAAATGGATACAAATAGATTAATCTGCCAATGGAAAACTGATAAATAGCTACAATTTTTCCCCCATGACTTTATCACTGAAATACAGGTCACCTGCCTTGAAATAAGGGAAGAGTTTAAAGAAATGAGGACTTACTTACCCATGACATTTAAAAATATGATCTGGGAAATGGTGTCATTGAGATTGAGAAGTAATCATGTCTGTCCATGGTCTACCCATGCTGCTCTGTGTTATGTACTATAATCATTTGCTCTCAGCCTCATATCAGGCTTCGTGGGGATTCACTTAGCCTGCTTTGTTGCCACCGTTCAAACACCCCAGTGAAGGTAAATAGGAGCACGTGTGGGTGACAGGGTTCAGGAAAGGTGGGTGAGCCACCTGGCCCCTGGTGGTGCCCGGTGCAGGCAAGCCAGAGGGTGGGACACTGCCTTGGGAACATTCCCTTCTTCTTTCCTTTTTGCCTCCCTGTGAAATGACTGCTGTCTTTGCTTTGAACTTAGTTAACCTCCCATGATGGTTTCACGTCATCAAGTCCATTTCTCTGCCTTCTGTGAACCACAGGGGCATAAGCAGATGGCCATGAAGGTTCTGCCTCCAGGCTTCAGAGATAGAGGATTTTAATGTGGCAATTTCGGCACATTCTGCCATCCAAAACATTGTGAAACAGTCAACTGTCTGCAGCATTCTGGCCAATCCATTAAATCTAATTCGTTCCAGATCCTTCTTGAAATAAAATTTTAGAGTTGAATAAAGCATTTCTCAACCATTCTAAAGGCAATAAAATAATGATTTCCAACTACCCATTATCTTATTTGGGTGGACTTTATCCTGAGGTTTGGAGAGTCCTCCAGACAGGCTGTGATCTCTAGATAAGATGTAGTTGAAAAAGCCAACGCTATTAAGGAACCAAAGCTGCATAAAGAGTAAAGGACTTTTTTTTAAGTTGGCAAGGTTTCATCACGAACAGCCAAGTGTGAGAAGTAGGAGAAAGGGCTGTGTGATGTCACACTGTACCCAGGAGGGGAGGACAGGCGAGGTGTTGGCTTTAACCTGAGCTAGGATCACAGGACCATGTTCTGGGCCCCCCCA